TATATATATATATATATATATATATATATATATATATAAACAATTGCTGTGTAGTTGATATTAGTAGTGGTAGACGCTGTGATCAGCCTTGGTTTGTATTTAAATGCAAGCAAATCAATTGCCAACTATGTATTTTAATCATGTTCAAAGTACTGTACAATTATTTTCTACAGAAAAATTGAGTATTTGTGCTTCACTGTATATAAAATAATGTTATCCCAAATTCGCAAAGTGTTTCTAAGACACAATTTATTATTATGACAAAAAATCTAATTTACAACAATTACTTGATAAATCATTAGAGAAACACTTTTTTTTTTTTGAGGAATTACTTTGCTAAATGTTTCTTCATTATTTTTTTCCCAATAGCTAATTGTCTTGTCATATCAATTTTCTTTAGTCAGTTGTGTTGGCAAAATTACCATTTTTATTAGCTAAATAACTAAATATTTTGAACTTCATGCTAGTATTTGTGGATAATGTGATAGTTGTGAATGTATTTTCAGTCATCAATAACCAAAAACATTTTAAAATTCTTAGAAAGACATCACCGATTTATTTGCAGAAAAACAAACAAACACAAACAAACAAACAAACGTAACCGTTTTATTTATCTTTTATGTTGATGTGTTGCGCAATTTAAAACGCGTGGCGGCGCTGTAGAATAAACACGTCTTGAGTTGTACCCACGAAGAAAGATACAAACCTGCTGATTGGAGGATTGCTTCAGGAAGTTGATGTACGTAAATAAAAAAAAGAAATGTGACCGTGAGGCGGTGATACCGTTGAAGGAAAGTCCAAATCCCGCTTTCATTTAACAAAAGTTTACTTGTTTGTTGACAATAATTAGTATTGTCATGTCACTGCTTGTCCTTTTTACCAGCCGTATGCTGAGTGTTTCTGGGCGGGTCGGACGGAGAGCTGCTCCGGGCTTATCTCCGCTGCTAACACCGACCTCACCGGGGCTCACGCGGGTTCTGGCTGTTGGTAAAAAGGATCTGACGAATTTTCCGATCCTAAATGAGGATGAGCTTGAAGAGCAGTTTGTGCGAGGATCCGGACCCGGAGGCCAGGCCACCAATAAAACCAGCAACTGCGTGGTCCTCAAACACATCCCCACAGGAATTGTAGTGAAGGTAAAGTCGAAGTGTTGTCTCTCTCTCTGACAAGTTGTATTTTCCGCCTACTGCTTTGCTTTGTCTGTTCAAACTTCCATCTGAACACTTTCAGGACTTTTTCTTGCCTTAAAAGTCGAATCTCGTAGTCATTTGTCCCTTAAATGCATAAAAAATTTATCTGGATAACATTCTTCTGCTTCTTTTTCTAGTCTTTTAAAGATAAAGGAAACATTTTTTTTCCATTCACATGTGATGCATGGGGTGGAATACAACTAGTTGCCCAGTTCTTGGTTATACACGAGAATAAGAATAACGCACTTTAATAAATAAAGAGCAGTCGTAAATAATTAAACTAAAGGTTGAAAATGAGATGGAGTTGTAACTCCCAAGAAGCTTACAGAGCATCACCAGAGTAAAACGTTCTCACAGCTTCAGGGTAGAAGCCGTTCCTCAGTCTTGACGTTCTGCTTCTGAGATGTTCTGTAACCTTCTGTCTGAGGGGAGGAGGATAAATGGGGTGTGCACAGGGTGGGTGCAATCTCTCATGAAGCAGGTGGGCATTTTCCTGCATCTGGAGGTGTAAATATCCATGGTGGTGGGAAGTGTGACTCCCACAACTTTTTGAGCAGCCTTCACCATTCTGTGTGGAGACAACTTCTTTGCCGCAGAGCTGCTGCTGTGCCACTCTGAAACAGGTGCAAAGGATGCTCTACCGCACACCTGTAGAAGACAGTCAGGACTGGGCTGCTCAGCCCTGCATGCCTCAGCAGTCGTTAAGGAGTCGGTGAACCTTCAGGCTGGAGGCTTTGTTTCTTCAGGTCAAGTCATCACTCAGGTGAACACACAGGTGGGGTGGGATGTGTAGTTTGGTTGATGTCTGCCCCTTCTGAAGTCCACAATCCTTTGTCCTCTTCATGTTGACGCAGAGGTTATTTTCCTTGCACCAACACTTTAGATGTTCCAACTCCTGCCTGTAGCCAGACTCGTTGTTTGCAATGTATCCAAGTACAATGATGTCATCTGCAAACTTAACAATATGACAACATGGGTGCTTCACTGAACAGTCACATGTGAGCAGAATGAACAGGAGGGAACTCAGCACGCAGCCCCTGGTGAGAGCCAGACAAGGAGACGTGGATTCTGACAGACTGTGACCTGTTTGTCAGGAAGTCCAGCACCTAGTTGCAAGGGGAGGAGCTCCATCTGAGTTGGGACTGTTTATGACCAGGGTTTGTGGGATTATAATCTTACAGGACCAATGTAAAGTCCACAAAGAGCAGGTGAACATAATGTCCCTGCCCTCCAGGAGGGTGAGGGCAGTGTGCACCACAGAGGAGATTGCATCCTCTGTGGACCGGTTTTTCCAAAAGGTATTGGTAGGGGTCTATGGTGAGGTTATTGATGTTCTTAATGCGAGGGATAACAAGTCTGTCAAAGCCTTTCATGACTGTTGAGATGAGGACTACCAGCCGAATTGAAGATTTTCAGTTTGGAATAATTTTCAGTTTTTTTGTTATTGTTACTGGTTTATTATAATTGACTATTAAAAAGGTTTTTACAGCCACCACACAAAACTATTGAATAACAAAAAGTTCTATAAAAAAAGCTACAACTTCACACAGTTTAATTATTAAAACCACCAATGACTCCATTGTGGGATTTTATTTCTCCCCATCTTTGCCATATGTATGATTTCTACTACTAAAGAAAAAATGATGCATACAATGTGTAATAAACTTAATGTATTTGTGTTAAAATTCAATTTTGTATTATAGTAATTAGTAAAACATATCAAAAACACAATTATGGTATGCAAATATACCGGTAACCATTTTTTCTGAAACGTAGAACTATAAATATATCTGAACTGAAAGAGCCTACATAAAGTTCTGGCATTTTGTATTTGTATGGATTATTGGTATGAAAATACATTGTTTCATTTTGCTTTAATTATTTTGGTTTAAGTGATCTGTTAGGAGAACTGTCAATGATTTACAACTCATGTTCCAACTCTTTTTGTTTTCTCCCCAGTGCCATCAGACCAGATCTGTGGATATAAATCGGAAGCGAGCCCGGGAAATAATGAGAGAGAAACTTGATGTTGAATATAAAGGAGAGCTCAGTGAAATTATTGTAAAGAAGAAAGAATCTGTGCTAAGGAAACAAGAAAAAAGAAGAAAAGTGAATGAGAAACTGGAGAGAAAAAGACTTTTTAAAGAAACTCTGACTGAAGACTCCTAACCTGAAAATGATGCTATTTAATGTGTTCAGGTAGAAAATGGAAGGTGGACTCAAGCACATGAAACAAAATGCTGTTGTTTTTTTCTAATAACCTAATAAAATAAAATGAAAGAATCTGTTAGTGCTTGTGTAAGAGTTTCCAAAAGCTATTTATGCAGTTGCATAACGTTTAAAATTTTCAAAAATGTTTTTGATTAATTTGTAAATATTTGTGTGTCAGTTATTTTTACAGTTTTGTGTCAGTGTTGCATTGGTTCTCAGTTGGGTACAGTTTTTAATCGAGGGTTTACTTCCAAGTATAAGATGTCAACAAAATCCTTCCAATCTTATTACAGTGTGACCTTTTGTTATTAGTCTGCTGCTATTTTACTCTTAATTATACTTAATATAAAAAAAAAATTAAAGCATGAGAATAAAACAAATGAGCTATTTGGGGGCCCGAGATGGGGTAGAGGCAGGGCAGCTGACTTTGACTCGAAAGTCCCAGGCTCTATCCCCAGTCACTGCCCATCTCGTGGTGTCTGAACAGGACACCCTATCCCCAATTGCTCCCAGGGTGCCCCCAATAGCTGCCCACTGCTCCACCTGGGGGTGGATGGGTTAAATACAGAGAGCCAATTTCGCCATTTTATGGAAACATACAATGATAACATTAATATATTATTTCTGACTGACGGTGATCAAAGTTGGTAAAAAAAAGACCAATTTGACTGGCCACATCTTGGTTAAAACTCTTAATAATGGAGGTGGAACACCTGGAGAGCTGGTGCAGGGAGAACAACCTTCACATCAAGAAGACAAGAGATGGTTGTGGATTTCAGACAGAACAAACACACCTACCACCCCCTGAATATAGGAGGATCTGTGGTGGAAGTGGTCTCCAGCTACAAGTACTTGGGTGTGCACCTGAATGACAACAGCTGGGGCAACAACGCTACCAGCCTGATCAAGAAAGTACAGAGACTACTTCCTCAGAATGCTGGCAGGCTGGGCTGAGAAGCTCAGTCCTCACCTCCTAGATGTGTACAGTGGAGAGCATCCTGTGCTCCAGTATCAGTGTGTGACATGGAGGCTGCAGAAAGAAAAGCTTTGCAGAGAGTGGTGAAGGCTGCACAGAAGACTTGGAGTCAGCCTCTCCACCATCACAGACATCTACACCTCCAGATGCAGGAAGAGGGCCACCTGCATCATGAAGGACCCCACTCACCCAGCACACACTTTTTGCCCCGCTCTCCTCAAACAGGAGGTTGCGGAGCATTAAGTGCAGAACCACTAGGCTGAGGAACAGCTTCTACCCTGAAGCTGTTAGAGTCATGAATCCCTAATCAGGATTATCACTGTGGAGAAGAAAAAAAAAACTTGTCATGCCAATTTGATATGTGCTGCTGATTATCCATGCTGCTGATCATTTCATGCTGCTGTATTCATTCGTACGCAAGTACTCACAGACTCATTTGTGCTGCTGTTGTTCGGCGTATTGTTTTGCACTATTAGTATTTAGCGTATATAGTTTATATCGTAGATCCTTATTTACTGTTTCTTTTTACACTATATTTTTGCTATTGTTGGATGTAATTGGGACCCAATGTACATAATTTCGTTCCACCTTATGTACCACATGTGATGAAATGACAGTACTACTTGAACTTAATAGCTGTAATCTTTATTTTTAATCTTTTACAAGGGTACTGAATCAAGCTCTTACAGTATTTTAAATTAAATGAATATATTGTGTGACACCTTGTCTGAGTTGTTTCATTATCGTGTGAATGAAAGCAGCTCTAGTTAACTTTGCAGCATTATTTAAAAAGCTAATCCTAATCACGTGGGCCCAACATGGAGTTGCGTCACAACCAATCGGAAAGCCGTTCCCATGCTCTCGCCCCGCCTTCTAATAGGAACCGGCCAATCACGAGCGTCTAAGCGTTTTTTAAATCCGTCTTCGCTCTCGCAGGAAGTTCACGTCGCTGATATTTTCTCGGTGTCTAAATAAATTTAGACTGAAAAACCCGTGAACCTGAGGGCAACATTCAAAGACAACTTCGTTTTCGGACTGAATTCCACAAGCCGAATATGGCGAAAGGTTGACTTATTTTTAATATTTTTAAACGGTTGCTTGACGAATTTTGCGGCATAAAGTGAAGCTAATCATGCTAGTTCGCTTGACTGTAACATATTGTAACAAAATGTTGGCCCTTTTTGTTCCAGTAAAACAACAGTGATAATAAAAACTCGACGGTGTATGTTTTATAATGTATCGTAAATTATAGAGCAGCGCTTATATTTATTTCTTTTCATGTTTATAAAGGGAAGAAATCTGCGCTGAGAACCATCAAAAAGTCTGAGAACACTGTTGAACAAACAGCCTCTTCACTTACTGAGACGAAGGAAAACAAACCAGAAACTAACAAGGTACGTTTACACGTCTGTTTACCAACTTCTATAGATATTTTTAACATTTAAGCTTGTCATTAGTGGGTTAAATGCAATTTTTTGCATTCATAAACTTCTGATGCGTTTACTGACTGCAGGATGTTTTCAATTTTGAGCCTACAAGACAGAAACCACCTGCCAGGAGCTAAACACTGCCCCCTACTAATATTGTCTCCGTCATTCATTCAACCTTTACTTATAAGTAATAAGTATAAATACAGGTTAGTGTCATTGAGTCTCGAGGACTCATTTACAAGAGGGACCTGTTTTAACAAAGAATGATGACAACAATAGACAATCATAAAAGAAGGCATGTGAATTGAAAAATAAATTGAAGAAAATGATATGGTTTTAAACGATAAATAAAATTGAGTAAATAACGAGAGAAAAGCATGTAAGGACATAGTTTTTTTTTTTTATGTGTAGTACACCAGCGCTAGCAGAAAAAGTTCTAAAGTTCTAGATTTGCGCTGCTCAAGGTGGCTGCATGTTGGAGTAGTTCTGTTACATTCATTCTGAGTTATTGCTTTTGGAAACTTTAATTCTTCTTTTTCTGGATGTCAGTCACTTTTTTCGGATGATTATTTCCTCTGGTATTGGATGCTGTGCAGCTGGAAGGATTTTAACTGAAACCTTTTTACTTTTGGGCATTTGTTATGATGCGTAACCATGGCAACAAGGTTTTTTTTTGTTTGTTTGTTTGTTTTTTAAAAAAAAAAAAAACTTTATTAATCCCAAAGGGAAATTATTTTGTTGTTGTAACTTGTTATCCTCATTTCATTAAGAGATGTTATAGATGCTGATGGCTGTAGACAGGAAGGATCTCTTTTAAAGGTCCATCCCACAGTGGATCCTAAGAAACTGGCTGCAGATGCCGTCCGATCCGTCCGCCCAGACTCAGCTGGCCTCTCGGTTCCCCTGGACTGTAGGACTGCCTGAATGCCGGGCAGAACTCCTCCCAGAGCGATGGCCACTCCTCCCAGCAGTCTGCCGAGCTCCCCATAAGTGCGGACAGCCAACTGTAGGTGCTGAGGGACGATCCTGTCCTTCCGCTGTCGTGAGCCGTGTTTCCTGCTAGTTCCAGGATCTCAGTGGTCAGGCACTCGAGCACAGCTGGCAGGTAGATGAGAATGTGTCCACATAACATCCTTTTCAACTCATTTGAGAGTTGGGGCCATAGTTGAGATATTATTTGAGCTTTTGAGATGTTAATCAGCTGCTGTTGTAGAAAACAGCCTTGTTGCCATGGTTACGCATCATAACAAATGTCCAAAACTTAAAAAGTTTCAGTAAAAATCCTTCCAGCTGCACAGCATCTAATACCAGAGGAAACAATCATCCAAAAAATATGATGTACATCCAGAAAACCAGGAATTAAAGTTTCCAAAAGCAAAATCTCAGAATGAAAGTAACAGAGCTGCTCCAACATGCAGCTACCTTGAGCGGCGCAATTCTAGAACAAGGATTTAACAACCAGGAGCAGCTGATTAACATCTCAAAAGCTGAAATACCTCAACTACAGCATCAAATCCCAAATGAGTTGAAAAGGAGGCTCCATGGACAAATTCCTGTCAACCTGACGGCGGTGCTCGAGTGCCTGACTGCCGAGATTCTGGAGCTGGTGGGAAACTCGACTCTTGACATCAGGAGGACGGGGATCTTCCCCCGGCTTCTTCAACTGTCTGTCCGTGGCGACGAGGAGCTCTGCAGACTGCTGGGAGGAGTGACCATCGCTCAGGGAGGAATTCTTTCCTGCTGCCCAGGAGGACCGAGAGGCCCGCTGGATCTGACGGCAAGCTGGATCTGGGCGGACGGATCGGTATCTGTGGCCAGATCCTTCAGATTCACTGCAGGAGATCCTTCCTTCCCACAGCTATCAGCATCTAACAACTCTTGAATAAAACCAGGATGATGAGCTACGACAACACTTAATTTCCCTCTGGGATTAATAGTATTATTGAATTGAATTGAAAATTTATATTTAATTGGCCCTAGTCAAGAACTTTAAATTAATTTTTACTGAAATGGTAGTGTGCAAAAGTCTTGGAATTTCTCATTTATTTTGACTATATATTAATATCAAGAAGACCGGTTTAATTTAACCAGGTTAGTCAGCTGAGAACAAGTTGTAATTTTTACCTTTTGATTTTTTTTTTTTTACAACAAAAAGTAAAAATGAGTTTGCTAAAAACAGAGGAGTTACAGTCATAAAATGATACTCACAAAACTTTTAAAAGATGGGGTGGGGGGTAGCAGGGGTGTGCTTTACAGTCTGTAAATGGTTTCAATCAGTAGAAGCGGAACATTGAAATGATTGGCTAAAGGATGTACGTGCTACGGGTCAGGGGTACAGTACATAAATTAATGTAGCTGCTGGAAGAGCAGTAATGGGCATTTAGTAATGAACAGAGGTTTTTTTAGATCAACAGAAACCAGTCTGTCTGTGGGAGTGAATAGAAGGCCAGTTCTGCAGGAAATACAAGGTGCAGTCATTTTAATACTTGACTATTTTTCTAACCTATGAATCATTCAGGCTTGAAAAGCTCATATGGGATGAACTAGTGTTCTATCAACAAATTGTAAAAAATATTAATCATAATAATAATCATTTTAATTATATCTTTAAGGCTCTTTATTACGTAGTTTCAGTTTGTCACCAAGTTTTACAGATCAGCCAGTGGATTCTTTTAACAGCTATTGGATTAATACTTGACACACTAAATGATCAACTGAAGGATGATGCATGACTGTCAGATCCTCGCTGGTGTAGTGAGTCACGTGGGTACGTGTCACTTGTTGTATGACAAATATATGGATATATATTTATGCATACTTTTCACGAGTTCTTCATTTTTCTGACTGTAAATGCCGTGCATTGAATTTAACACAAAATGTAGCGAGAGACGTTATTTATCTTTGACCCATCAAATGAATGGAGTCATTTATTTTCAGAATCAAAGTTTAACATCAAACATTTACATTAATTTGGCAAAATATGAAAATAATAACAGACAGTTTCACAAATAATGAACTTCAAATCACTCGGCGGTGATTTGAGGACTTTGCTTCAGATATTTCTAAAAATATCCGTACTGATTTATGAGAGAGAGGTGAGTTTAAGATTAAATGGAGATTTATCTTACAGAGGAATATGTGAGGGAAATTTAATCTGTTTAACCAGAAATTGCACGCTCCGTCAGATCTCAGCTTCTCACGGTACACTTGGTCAAAATAGAACCATCTACCTGTTGATGATGAATCAGCGTCGGAGTAGTTCCTTTCTGACTCGTTTCAGCGTCTCCGTCGAGAACTACCAAACCTTCAGAGAGTCATGCGTGGTTAGTTCAAACAGAATTATAATCCCAAAACGTCTCTGTATTCTTCATTGCTCTCTTGGACTCTTCATTGCTCTGAAACTTTCAGAACCGACTGCACTCTCAATCTAACATGAACTGGGATGTTGCCACATTTTATTTGGGTCGACTTCCTGTTCAATTTAGAGCTTTCTGATTCGTGGAAGGACCAGAAAGAGGAGTGGTTTTGTGACGTAAGATGTTATCTAAGCCAAGGTCAGAGAATGAATCTGTTTTCACATACAGAAAAGATTATTGCAGAAGCAGCAGACTTCGTGGAGTCATTTACTCTGATATCTTCTCAAATAGTTAAACATGACATTTCTTCTTCAGTAAACATTTTAGTTGACCGAAAACCAACCTTTCACATACTTACGACAGCTTGCTCATTTCAGACAGAAAATCACGAAATGCATATTCAGGTGATTTCTTCTCTGAATGAGGAATAAAAATCATTACTTACTGTTTATGTAAAATAAAAATGAGTAGTTCTTTTCAACCTGTAAAGCATTGAGTGAACTAACACAATTTGATTATCAAAACATTTGTAAGACAGTAATGATTATAAAGAATTGTTTTTTCTGCTTGATTAATTCAAGAAAGAAAGTCATCAGATGGCCCAGACTTATTCAGATTAATGAAAATAACAGTCTCTGTCCATCTGGTAGATTTGAGGTCAGATAAGGGTCAGACCAGGTTCACTACACTGGATTAAAAATACTTTTTTCAAATATAAGACTTTCAGATACTTTTCCTCTGCAGATAGCTTTTTAGTCAAGTCAGATTTCTTTATAGAGCACATTTAAAACAGAAACTGTTACCAAAGTGCTTAACAAAAATATCACAACATCAAATAAAAAGTAACAAGATATATTTACAGCACATGGAATAAAACTATAAAACAGAAAACATGGCCTGACATCTTATTTTATACATTTTTTTTAAATTTTGTAAAGCACACACTGCAAAATGTGCTGTCAGACACGAGAACTGAACAGAACATGAGCAGAAAAGCAGCCAAAGTTCAAAGGAAAAATTTGTAAAGACTTTCAGAAAACCTGAGGAACTACTGAGACCACTTTAAAATCAAGCTTTTGGGCTGCTTAGTTAAAAAGTATAATGATGATACAAAAAGTGGTTCAAGACTTTAGCACAGTACTCTACTGTCCAATAATATTAGATTCAATCCACCAAAAATGCAGATATTAAATCAAATGTTTAGTCTTGTTTCAATTTTTTTCCCTCTGACCATAAATGTCACAATTTACTGTCTTGCAGGAATGTGTAGGTAAAGTGCAGTCAGTCCTTCAGTGTTTGCAGAGTCCAAGGAAATCAAGATCCCCACTAAGTGACAATTCAAGCATGTTGCTCCAGGAGGGAAAGGATTCTGACGCAGCCAATTCAGACTCGTCAAAGCTGAAGCTGGGTAGGCCTTAAATATACTGACGTCTCAGACAGGCCTCTTCATTGTCGTCTTCAAACTCACCTCTTTCCCTTGGCTTTTAACACTTTGCTTTTACATTGATTTTCTTTATTTTTACCGGATTTTTTATTTTTGTAGATTTTATTGTTTTATTTTGTTTTTATTTCACGATTATATTTAGTATTGCGTGAGCTGTGTTTTAGTGTTGACTCTGTCTGCTGTTGTGTAAAGAGCTTTACAAATAATGTTGGATTGAATTGGACTTGAACTGACTCACCAGAATCTGTGGGTTTGGTATTTCCGTTGTATAGATTCTTGCAGCTGACCTCTTTTCCACCGTATAGTCAGCAGATCCACTGAAACGTTCACGCAGAATGACAGCAGTGTTCACTGACCTATCTTATGACACAGTTTAACAGTATTTTGAAGGGCTCTCACTTTCTTAATTAGGGCTAAAGATTTTGAACAGGCTTATGTTTTGTTTCTGCCTCGTTTTAGACATGACCGATAAAATTAAATCTGAGAGATGCGAGTCCCAAGAACAGAACCCTGAAGTGTCCCGTCAGAGTAGCGGGACAAGGCAGCAGGCCTTTGATCAGCCTAAGCAAAAAGAATCCTCCACACAACCAAATGTGAAATCTGCTACAAACACCCAAGCTCCAGCATCCAAACCTCAGAGTAAGACCAGAGCAAAAAAGTGAGTTCACGCAGATAAGCCTGTTGGAAATACTTGGCTGTAAACTTGTATTTTTCACAGCCAGTTGAACAATCACAATGTCTGTCTTTTCAGGAAGGAGAACAAAGCTCTTCAAAACAGAAAGGTCACGGATTATTTTCCCATCAGACGGAGTAGCAGAAAAACAAAAAATGACCTAAAGGTTTGTTAATGTGGTAGTAAGTTTAAACAGCGTAAAACTGTCGTATTTGTGCTCGCACGTTTCTGAATAACACCAACCACTGTCACCAGAGTGAAGAGCACAAACACTTGGATGATCTGATAAAGAATGGAACTGAAGAAGGGATGCAGGTATCATTTAAAGGATTTAAAATGTAACAATCGGCCACATAGTGTGTGGAGGTCAGCTATAGGTTTGCTGTAAAATAGGTAAACGGTGATCGTCTGGTCATCTTTTCCAGATCTAAACATTTGAATGTCAACAGGTCAAACACATAAAGGAAAAAGGACGAGGAGTATTTGCTGTTAAAGGTTTTACAAAGGGAGAGTTTGTTGTCGAGTACCATGGCGACCTGCTGGACCTGGCAGAAGCAAAAAGGAGAGAGGCAGAGTATTCGAAGGATCCTGAAACGGGCTGTTACATGTACTACTTCCAGTATCAAACCAAAACTTACTGGTAAGTGCCCAGTCTGCAGTATGGAGAGAAATGTATAAGTGTACACAAACCATATGTGCACCATGTATGGGCAGAAACTTGTGCCATCAAAAACCAAATTTTAATTGCTCAGATTGAATCTGTATTTGCGTCATTTGAAATTAAATCCATTGGTTTGAAACTGAATTTTGTTGTACTGAAAATTCAGTTTGACTACGGTACTTTCATTTTCAGTTCTATAATTCCAAGATTCAGTTTTTTGTGTCCATATCCAGGTCCTTGAGAAAGCCACGGAGTAATTGAATGCAGATCGGCAGATTTTACACGTCAATGGAACTTCTTCCTTTACAGCGTGTTTTGAGCTGGAGCAGTAACATGAACTTGTGTGTGCGTCACTGCTCCAGCTCAAAATATGCCGTAAAGGAAGTCATTTTCCTTCTTTGTTGTTCTATGGCGGATTGCATCCAAAGGAACCCCATGCCTACATTTCCATAGAGGAAGTTTCGGTGTCGTGAAAAGATAATCTGTCAATCTGCGTTCACTTACTCCGAGGCTTTCTCAAGGTATGTGTGACACAAAAAAAATTTGAATTTTGGGATTGAAATTTAATGAATAAAATGAAAGTAGTTGAAGTGAATTTTCAGTACTGTATATCAAAATACAGTTTCAAGCAAATTCTGTTTCAAACTATTAAATTCAGTTTCAATTTAGTGAAATTCATTTTCAAACCAATGGATTTAATTTGAAATTATGCAAATACAGATTCAGTCTGAGCAATTCAATTTCAATTTCTGCCCATAGCCATGCCCCACACGTTCTGCTGGAAGGTTTAGAGCTCACTTCACAGTTTTGACTAGACCGTAAAAATAAAAAAAATAAATCTTGTTGTCTATAATTTTTATTCTGCACAAAACAATATCGAAGACATGTTTATACATCCATAATCTTCACCCTTGGGATTATTAAAAGCTCATGAGTTTTTGAAACTCCTAATATTGTAATTGAGAAGCAACTGTTCGGTGCATCCCGTTATCTCTCAAGAGTTTGTCAATTTAGTGCAAATTAAGTGTAACTGAGCAACGAGGAATTTTATTTGGTTTTCTCAGTTTTTTTTTTTTTTTACCATTTTAATTGCATTAAATCATATCTTCAGCATTGCTACCATGACATCAAATATTTTAGCAAAGAAAAAAGGCTTGATCATAGAAATGAGTTCTGCTCAGCACATTTCTTTTTAAATAATTGCTTAATGTGCTTGAAAAGGTTTTGATCTTTCCTATGAATGGTGACCGTGTTTTCTTTATGCATTAAAGCGTGGATGCTACGAAGGAAACGGGCCGCCTTGGAAGGCTGCTGAACCACAGTAAAGGTGGAAACTGTCAGACGAGGCTCCACGCCATCGATGGGACGCCTCACCTGATCTTGGTGGCTTCCAGAGACATCAAAGCAGACGAGGAGCTGCTCTATGATTACGGCGATCGGAGCAAAGACTCCATCTCTGCACACCCTTGGCTCAAATACTGAAACCCTAAATCACATTTAACATGAACTGAAGCCTTCTGATGTAGATGTGGGCTTTACATAAAACGAGCCACACAGGAACAGTCTTTAAATGATCGTTCTATAAACTAACACGTTTGTTTCAGGTGAAAGGGAAAACTTCAACTAGTTGAGTAGTTTCAAAATGTTTTTATTGGGCTTTTATACTTGGTAAATGTTAGCATTTGGTGGAAGCTTGATAGTATTTTTTTTATTTTCTTTTCAGGTATTGTTTTACTGTCTGGTAGGTTTTTGTTTTGTTTGTGCAATGAATTCACTTCTGGCTGTAAACTACCTGAGCTGTATACAGAGGAATAAAACACTTGCATTTCCTCTCGAGTTGTAATGAAGACGGTGTTCAGGATAGACATGACTCTTACTTTATTGATGAAGCAGGGGTTTTTACAGTGTTATAATACCCAATAATATATATATTTAATTGGAGAGGTAGAGGGGTAAAACATGCAACATATAATAAGACTGATGTCATTTTGCATTATCGAACAGTGTGTGACCAACTGCAAACTAATATTTTGTTTTCTATTGTGACATGAAGTGTTAATGTTCAGGCTTAAACTAATAGTTTATTTTCATTACCATTTATGAAAACTTAGGCAGCTATTCATTGGTTGTTTTTTTTTTAATGACAAAACTTGCAACGTGTAAAACTAGGACCCTTGAAATATTTATTCCCAGAAATAAAACAAGTTTTCTGACATTTTGTGTAGATATATTTTTATGTGACTAAATAACTAATTAATGTTTGGTTATTTGACTTCATTTTGATTTTTAAAAAACGAAAACTTCTTAAACTATCTCACTTTTAGTGAGAGTTAATCACAGAGATAATACTTTCCAGTTATCTTTAGCTTAATTGTTTTTTTTTTTTTTTTTTTTTACATAATTTATAGTTCAGCTACTTCAACTGTGTAATACTAAAAACAATCGTAGGATAAAACTGCCGGTACAAAACATTGTTAGAATGACAAAAAGGCATGTACAAAAACAATCGTTACAAAAGTGTTTAAAATGTGCAGACAAATCCAGTTTGCCTCCTACATCGTCCATTCTTCTGAAAACTTTTCCTCATTTCCGTCTGAATGAAAACCTATAAAATAAAAAGGTCCAGAGTTAAGGTTGTTGGGTTCATGAATGGGTGAACAAACAACGTGCACTCTCAACTGAGTCACTGCGTGCTTATAATTACTGACAGCAGCAGTTTGGAGGAAAAAGACCATTTTCAGCCTCTATTTCCCTGACTCACTCTTCACCAGCATGACGCCATCAGGTCATCAGACCAGCGTTACAGGAGACGGGCTGTGAGGACTATCTTTACAAGCTTACTACATCAAGTGGCTGCAGCTTAAAAACATGAACAAAATAAAACTTTTACCTGAGACATTAAGCACTTGCAGTGACCGCTTTTTACTTACAGCTTTCCTATGGTTGTCTTCTCATTTATTGAGGCTGGGCTGTCCTCTGTAGCTGCTGGCGGGTTCAGATCCACTTCCACTGTGGCTGGTTCAGCTTGTGGCAGAATCCCACTGCAGGAAAAAAAAAAAGTTTCGTAGACCAAGGTCAGACTGCTTCATGCTTTGTAATGACAGCTGAACAGAACAAATCTATTAAAATTATAAATTTAGTTTTGGTCATTTGATGTCATAACAGCATTTGACAAAGCAGCAACAGAAGAAAAGTATTAAAATTGTGATTTATAACAAATTAAACATGTCAGTGTCTAAAGCTACTGTTTGACTTTGTCTCTCCCAACATATAAAGCAGCAACGTGAACAGTGTACACGTTCATAGCTGGAATTTGAACTACTCATATGAAGTATAGAAGTTGCTTACTCCATAACCAAGTGTTTATTATGCCCCTACTGTAAATAAACAAAAGATAAAAAAATATATATGTACTTTTAGATGTTCCAAGGTCTAAAATTAAAGTAGAGGTTATGCATGCTTTTGCAGCTGTTGTGTGAAATAACTTTAAAAAGTCAAAGCACAAAGTGATTTATTATGACCTAACTTTTACCTCTTATACAGCTGAAGCTCCTCCTGGACCAGCATGAGCTGGGCCTTCAGCTGGTTCCTCTCCTGCAGCACCTCCTTCAGCTCCTGCATGGTGAAGCGCGGTCTGTTGGGGTCGGTCAGGTCCACCACCAGCTGATTCGGTCCTGCTGGTTGCTACACGTGGCAGATCAGACATGTCTCAGTCATGTCCACCTTCTTCTAAACACACAGCTTGAACTCACAGGACAACTCACTCTGCTCTGTCCGGAGGAGGTCCCGTCCTTCATGATCCTGTCCAGCTCACTCTTCAGGTTGTCCCGCTCCATTTTCAACTCCTCCAGAGACAAGTTGTATTTGTTTACCAAAGTTTCGAACATTTCCAGAACTCGGACTATCCTGAACTGTAAACCCGACACTTCCTCTCCCGTGCTGCCAATCTTCAACAAATCCCGTCCGATCACGTAGGAGATGTCATAAACATCTTCGACCGTGAGCTCAAACGCTTCCTTCTCGAACGCCAGAGCAGGCGACGAATCTTCACCAAACTCCATGGCGGAACTGTACGATTCCTTAAATAACTGAAAAAGCTGTTTTTATTTTCTCGTCAAGCGTTAATTTACTATGTTGAAAACAACGTTTCCTATCTTCTGTAGACTCCGGCTCTGGTACTTTTCAGAACGAAGGTAACTAACTTCCAGCAGAACCGCACTTCCTCCATCACTCACCCTCCAATGGTGAGGCTCGCAGCACAGCAGAGGAGGGCGAAGTATCCTAGCGACAGGTAAACGCAAAGATCGTCTCTACATGAAGAGAACTCACTCAGTACGCGCCAATCGTAAACGCACATCTTATAAATTTTGTCCGGAAAAGGAAGCAACCAACTTTAAGCTTGAGTGAAGCTCTTCTGTTTCTCTCACTGTCTTTCTCGACATATGCAATATTCTTGTAAGAATCAGGTGAGGAAGCACGTGATTCATCATGAATATGGCCGTTAAAAATAAAAATCAGATCTTGATGTAGAATTTTCAACTCTAAATAATGACTGCACTACTAGTAAGAAATATAAAAACCTTAATTTTGTTCTTCTAACACATTTTGATCCAAATGCAGCCAGTACTCTGATGAAAGAAAGATCACATTTCTCGTTTTAGCTCCTCTCCATTGGCTCCCTGTCAAATTCAGAATAGATTCAAAATCTTACTTCTAGCATGCAAAGCTCTCAACAGCCTAGCTCCATCTTATATTACATAACTTTTTGATCCATACTTTCCTAACAGTGCACTTCGCTCTCAGACTGCAGGTTTACTTGTGGTTCCCAGAGTTTCCAAAAGTAGAATTGAAGGCAGAGCTTTCAATCATCAGGCTCCTCTCATGTAGAACCAATTTCCAGTTTCTGTCTGACTGACACCTTGACTACTTTTTAAAATTAGTTTCAAGTCTTTCCTTTTTTTTTTAATAAATCCTATAGTTAGGGTGAGTTTGGGTTTTCTGTGCCATCCCTTAATTATGCTGCTATAGGCTTAGACAGCTGGAGGACAATCTGACATTTCCTCATTGCTGCTGTCTTTACTTGCCCCACTGTACTGGGGCAAGTAAAGACAGCAGTCTTCAGAAGTCTGTGTATTGACTAATAATAATAATGAATAAAACAAAATGTTGTTAAAAATAGCCCACTTTTAGTCAATCCTCCTCAGTTTTCTGTTCTGGTCTCATCTGTCTGCTCCAAATGGATTCAAACAGAATATCTAAACAACGGGTTCTGCTGCAGCTATTCCTGCGTTTGAGCTCACGAGGTCAAATGTTAGTGGTCTCAGTGCATTAAAACCAGCTGAACGTGTCCACAGGGCAGAAAATCTGGACGCTCCAAATTAAACTATTGGAGTTGGCTCTTCAGATCACTGGACAAGTTCTGATCTGCTTGATGAATGCGGGTCGCTGAATGGTAGCGCCCCGTTACAGGTAAGTAAAAAACTGTAAACGTGTCATTAAAATTAATTTCAAATTCCATTTGAAATTGTCAAAATTGTTGAAAAATACACAAAACAATACACAGCAAGCTCAGTAACAAACACACACAAAATAAATCAATAGTAAAAAAAGAAAAACGCTCTTTATTGCATTATGAACAAACATTATTTTACAAGTGTTACATATTTGTTATTGATTGAAAATACGCAGGTGGGTTTTTTGTACTGTTTGGCAATACAGTATAATCCACCACCAGAACCAGAAAATACATGTTCAACTTTCAAAAGATAATTTCATAAACATAAATCATCCGATATGTCCAGTTCATTTGTCTTGAAGCAGCTATGCTTGACACGTTATTTTATTGTTAATAAACTGCTTAGCAGCTTAAAAAAACAAGAAAAGGTGACAAGATTATACTGTGAGATAATCTTGTCACACATTTTACAAATTAAAGTTCATTTAAAGCTGCTAAAATGACCACATCAAAGTAAAATGCATCATAAAAGTTGACATTGGTGATGATAACGTGTGTTTCACTTTGGCTTTAACTGGATAAATAAGAGATACTTGATTTTAAAAAAAAGAACAACGCTGCTCTTAAACAAACTGCTGTAAATATGTGGTGGCAAAATGTTTCGAGATGTCATCCAACAATAATAAAATCAAGGTCAAACAAAGGAAATAAGTCTTCTGATTGGCAATAATGTTGGATCGTCTGTGATCAAACCAGCTGCCACCATAGGCATTATGGCAGTGAAGATCCTGTCCAGAGGAAAATGGACAAAAGGGAAGGGGACCCATGGTTGGATACAGAAAATACATATAGAGTTCACAAAAAGCAATAAAACAATTATAAGTTCTGTACAAAGCATATAGTGACAATTTCAACAGCCAATAAATGTTTGCATTTGTTTTACTGAATCTTGTATATTGAACTTTCAATGTAAAAAATGGAAGTGCTCATTCAAATAAGTTTACAAGGGGAGGTTTGTACTCACAATCGCCTTATTCCTGATTCAGGCTGATCAGCTGAAGTCGGCTGTGATGAAGGAGACCCGCTTAAGGGGGGACTGATGTCATCCTCCAACTCCTCACTGAAGCAACAGATGGGGTGAGCGTCATTAAAGCCTTGTAAAACAGTGACACCTAGAGTCTATGACCCATATTCTACCTTTTATAATATGCCAGCTCTTCTAGGAGCATGAAAACCTGGGCTTTGAGTTCGTTCCTCTCCTGCAGGACATCCTTCAGCTCCTGCAGGGTGAATCGAGGTTTATCTGACTCCTGCTCCAAGCAGTCCGTTTCTTCCTCTGGCTCTGGATCAGCTGATTCCCTCTGCAGTGAAAACACACATTCAGGATACAAGTAACAAAGCAGGTAGCTGAGAAGGGAACCAGTCAGCCAAACAGAAAAGTAATACATTCGATAATGTTGATTAGGAAAAACGATTTGTTCTGACTAAACTGTATAAATTCTTTGTGTTTCATTCAGACAACAAATAAAGTGGTATGGTGTGACTACTGTAAACAGTCTGGTAGTGTTATATCCAGTAATGCTTTCTAGAGTGGGAGATTGAAAGTGGTTCTTACCTGCAAATGTGCTACCATCCTTTCGTCATCATCATCAGAGTTTCTCTCATTCTCTTTGTTTGCAGACTTTGTCAGAAGAGAAAGACTCCTATCACACTCAAAGCACTTTGCCACGAAGCCAGGATCTTCTCTACATTCCACCCACACCGACTTTGTTTTGACAGAGTTGACAGAGTCGGGAAGCGATGCTGCTGTGGACTGGGTTTGGAACACAAAACTTCCAGTTAGGAATCGTAAAGACGCGGTTTTAATTTAAACACAGCAGTCGAGCCTCTTACTGTGATCGGTGGCGATGTTGATGATGACGGTCCAGGTCTTGAAAGAGGAAAGTCCTCCATCACAGCAGCTTTTCTTTCCAACTCCTCCTGGAGCTCCTTCTTTAGCCTCGTGGCCTCCATCTGCAGAGCTCCATACTCCTGCTGCCGTGCTTGTGTTGCAGCTTCCAGCTCGGCTCTCTGCTGAATCAGTGTTTTACACTGAGCCTTCATCACTCCAGTCCTGTGAAGAAGGTCCTGATTGATTCTCATGAGTCGATGCTGCTGCATCTGGAGCTGTTGTCAAAGGAACACAATTCAAACTAATTCTGGACAAATATGGTATTTTTGGAGACTACAGAATATTTAAGGTGCTGCAACGTGGGCAGGTTAAAATCTTACAGCTTCAACATCCTCGTTTCTTAGCGCCAGCTCATGGTCTTTAGCCCTGATTTCATCTCTCTGTTTATCCACGACATCTCTCAGCTTCTTTGTCACTTGGCTGTCTCTTTCTGAAATTACTGCAAATAATAAAACAATTAAAAAAAAAAAAAAAACACCACAAATGAGGTGCAAAATGAGAATCAATCCAAGTAAAAAGTTGTCGTTTACAAAAACGTTGGATTTCAAACTCAAGGTTTCAACGTGGATCTAGGTTTTCTGTTACACTATCAAAAAAGCAAATGCATCCATGTTGCATCTAAAATCGCATCATGCTGTGAGCGTTTGGGTTTAACAAGTGTTTAAGTCTGTGAGCTTCTTTGCTGCAGCCCTGACATTATATATAGCTGCATGAGGTTGGCACGAGAGATATATTTTGGTCTACTTTAAAAATAGTCACCCTTACAAGCTCCTGACTCCATCTCCTCACGACCTACTTTCTGAAATTGAAGTCACAATTGAGTTTTCACTCCGATAACAAAATGTACGTATGATACATCTGTGGCTTTTGTATTAGGATAAAAGTTTAGCTCATTGACACGTTGGAAAAACTGAATCACTTTTTACTAAAAACTACTAAATCAAAATGTATAATTCTTGAAGAAGATGCATGAAATGTCAAAACAGGATCACCTGTTCTTAATGTTTTGTTATTTTTGAATGGTACCGACATAATAAAGAGCATATGAGTTTATCCCAGCGCAGCATCCAATCTGCTTTAAAAGTCGTGGCGATGTTGCTGCAGCAGACCCACCCTCACGTTTTTGCTGTAGGTCCTCCTCGGTGATGGGAGACTCTTTCAGCGAGAGACTCACCAACAACCTCTTGTTATCTGCCTGAAGCTGAGTGATTTGAGACAGCAGGTCCTGGACTTCTCCTCTCCAAACATCCTCCACCTGCTCCAACTCCTAAGATACAAATACATAAATAAAACACAGGAAAAACATCAATATACACGTGTCTTTTTTTTTTTTTTAACAGTGCATGCCGTTTATTTGAATTATAAAGAAAAAAAAAAAACCCATGAGGGTAATGTTTTTGTTTCCTCCAAAAGACTCAATGTAGGCTAGGGTTGTGTTTTGTTTAATAACTTTGCTTATTGTTGTGTGGCTTTTAAATGAGTCCAATGAGAAATACTGTACTGGTTAAACAGGTTTCACAGAAAAATGGATGACTGTTAAGATGAACGTGATTTTATTTATTTATTTATTTTTTAATTTCCCCAAACCTTGATCTTTGCACTGAGTGAGAAGTTGTCACCCTAGAGTCTAAATGTTTTAAACGATTTCCTTGAGAAGTACTAGAGACAAGATACACAGATAGTGCCAGGTCGACATTTTTTTTGACCTTCTGGTGCTTCCTCTCCTGCTCGTATCTGTCGCTCCTCTCCTGCCGCAGTCTGTCCAGCTCCCGCCGCAGCTCCTCGGCCTCCTGTGGCGCGGGTGCACGGCTCACCAGCACCTCCAGCAGCTCCAGAACCCGTACCACTCGGGGCACCACCCCGACCAGACACTCGACCCCAAACCTGTCAATGACCCGCTCAAACTCCTGCCCGAGCACCGCAGCTATGTCGTACACGTCCATGACCGTGAGCTCCGCCGCTGGTCTGTCGAGAGCTGCCGACATGACGCAGATTTCTGTCCGTCCTGTGCTTTTTATTGACGCATTTAGCATTCAACATGTCTCGGTCACCTCTCGCACTCCGAGTAGGGTAACATTCGTTGTAAAAATGGTTGAGTGAAGCTAGCTACCTGAAGCGCCTCGGGAAAAACTTGTCCAGTTTGTTGACGGTTTGGACGTCCCCACTGACGTTGTGTTTAGGTTCACACAAAAAACTCGGAAACTTAAACTCCATGTGTTTATAAAGCCACGAAAAACCAACTCTGCTAACGATCAGTGGTCAATAAAAAAAGTTTGACTTTAATGTCTCGTTTCATTTTGACAAGCTAAACAGTGTTTTATGTGTAGTGGACAAGCTAGTTAAATTCAAAATATCAGTATTAAAACAAACGCAACGCTTTTTAAAACGATCTTGTTACATTGAAACCGTCATTCTTGGGAGCACAGACGCTCTGCATATTGAAAATATAATTTTTTATAAGCGCACGTGAAGAGGGCATCCCAAAATTCTACTGCGCATGTCAAAATGTTAGTGGATTTGATTACCATATGTTCATAATTTGGCTTTCAGTGCCCCACCATAACAAGTCAGTGAATGTAAGACATGCTTAGATTTATATATGCATTTACCACACTTCTGATTTTTTTTTAGTTATATGTATACATGAACACAAAATACTTTAAAGCAACATTTTCAATAAGTTGGATAATCACTACAATTTACATGCTGCGTAGACAACTGCTGTATATGTTGTAGTGGAGTTTATTTATTGTATTGTATATTAACTTTTCAAACAATAGCTGATCAGTTTTAATCAAACTGTACCTAAAATAAAAAGGTAAAAACAAAACGACAGTGGAAAGTTAAAACATTTATTTTGCCTTACATTTACACTTCTTACAAGGAAAAAAAACACCATCTTTACTAAAATATATTAACAGATCTGAGTATAAAGACATTTCACACAAAGGAAAAAAAAGATGCATTGTAAGGCTTTATAAGGAAGGCTTCTAGAGGCAAAAAAAGACTTGAAAACCTTGATATTGTTTATTAAGCAACCCTACATTTTAATTTTTGTCATCCTAAAATAAGCTTTTGATAACTAAGGACACCTACAGCAAACATTTTTGTGCAAGCATTTAATCCATCTGTATGCTTTAAAATAATATCCTGGTTCTCAGTTAAAGGGACATTCAGTATAAATGCAGCGAGTTGCACCTTCCTATACAGACTGTATATCTTTACAGATATTTTTAATGCATTTGTAAAAGTATATTTCAAGGCCTCCAAGATGAGCTGAAGTTAGAAAAGCAGCTATTTAGCACGCAAAGACAAGTATGTCAAACTTCTGCAGCAAAATGTGCACATACTAGTTGTTTACCCCGTTTCCTTCACCACCATTACAACATAAAAGCAATACTGTACTGCCCAGTGTACATACATTATGAAAAAAGTGATGTGCTCAGCAACATATGTTCAAAATAGTGTGCAAAAAGGCTGCCATATACATAAAACTAACTGCTGACCTACAATATATGCTGTATGCATTTCTTGTCAGTATTAAAGATTTTATTCTAAGAAAGGGAGTAACAATACTTAAATTTAAAAAGTAATGCAGAAAATTAGTATTTTAAAACAGCTTAAGAGAATGAAATATTGTTATTGATGTTAGATATTAAACTTGTATTTATGTAAGGGGAAACAAAGAGCCAAGGAGGGACAAAATATCCCCCCTGTAGGCATAAAAGATCAGAAAACCATAAAAACCTGGCTACTGGGCCATTTTGGTAAGAGAAAAAAGAACAAAGCTAGGAAAAATAATAAAGAAGCAAGTTGACATTTAGGATCGTCGACATGCGACTTAAAAGGAATTGTTCACAAAGTTCAGGCATCTTGTAGTGAAGCTTCTTCCATCCTCTGCTCCATCCTTTACTTAAACTGTGAAGAAGAAAAAAATAATACTCAGGCCATATTTCTTCTTTAGTTTCTTTTAAACTTTTTTCATAAACTTTACTGTAAAAGCTTAGGCAATTTTATAATGAAGTATATTACTAATAATGTTACAATGTAATTTTATGCAAACGTAACAGACATTAATTCACTTATGCAACAGGCAGTCAATTATTTACAGAGTTCACAACTTATCAGGAATGTTTTGTGTGAGAAATATGTGTGAAAAATGTATTATACCTAATGTGTAGCAGTTTGTTTTTATCTATGGTATTAACTTTGTGTTGAAATAATAGCATAAAATGACAACTGTTCAGTATTTTCCTGTTATATTAGAAAATAAAATCAAATGTTTCAAGGCATTAATTTGAATCTTAATTCAATGAAAACGTACACTAACCATGTTTTTGGGTGGGATATTGGGTTTTTGAGCCAATGAAGGTTTCTTGAAGACAGCAGGCTTGCTGGGTTTTGGCGACGACATGGTGCCCTGACGGAGAGGTTGGACCAGCAAGGTGTCATCGTTCCCCTCAGAGACCGGCTCTAGAGGAACTCCCACCACCTCGTAGTGTTTCTTTCTCAGTTCACCCAAACGCAGACGCTCGTTCTCCAACTGAGTTTCCAGTTCCAACACCTTCACCTAAAAATGTAAATTAAAAGGTTATTGCCTAGTAATGCAATGTTTTGCTTTGCCGCTTTGCCACTGTAGTGGACTAGGCCTGATGTCAAAACTGACCAGATGGACAGAAACTGTCATTTCATTGATTTGAATCCAGAAATACAGTTTGACCCATCCTGAGACTTTCTCTCTTGAATTAATCAAGTGGAAAAGACAATTCTCTATGATCATTACTATTTTACAAATGTTTTTATAATCAAATTGTGTTAGTTCAAACAATGTTTACATGTTGAAGTGAACTACTCATTTTTATTTACTTAAACAGTAGTAATGATTTTTATTCCTCAATTCAAAGTGAAATCAAGTTAGAGTACATTACAGAGTAATGATTCAATTTCTTGATCGTCTGCTTTGAAAGTGAGCAAAGTTGTACGGGTGTTAAAGTTCAAGCTTCGGTCAACTAAGAAGTTTACTGAAAAGAAACGTCATGTTTAACTTTTACAGCAAGATATTTGGTGAGCGACGCCACGAAGTCTGGTTTTTCCATGATATCTTTCTGTCTGTTCTTAAACAATCCTTGACTTTCCATAACACCTTACATCACAAACCACACCTCTGTTCTGGTCCATCCACCAATCAAAAAGCTCTCAAATGAACCGGAAGTATAGCCCGTTTAAATGTGGCAACTTCCCAGTTCAACAGAAGAGTTGAGAAGAGTTCGAGTGGAGTTCAAGAGTTGTGGAATCCAGAGTGCAGGGAGTTTGGGAGTCCGTGAATGCAACCGCAGGCATTCATGGATGCTGCTAAACCAAACAAGCTGAACCAGAGACGATTTTGGGAATTATAACTTCTGTTTGGATAACCTCACACGACTCCTAAGGTTTTAGCTGTTCTCACGGAGACGCTGAAAAGAGTCAAAAGAAGAGCTCTACACCGACGCTGAAGCTATCGTCTGCAAGGTAAAAGTTCTATTTCGACCAAGCGTACCGTTGGCCAAGCTGATTTCAATGGAGCGTGCTGTTCTGGTTAAAACAGACAAATTCCCTCACACATCTCTCTCAGATAAACTTCATCTTTCCATCTTTAACTCTCCTATCTGCTAGAAAATTAATCCAGATGTTTTCATTAATGTCTGTGGTGTAACAACGGAAAACCATGGCCGTATGGTTTCCTGGTTGTAAAAGCTGATTAATTATGTTGTTGTTTTCATATTCTGCCAAATTAATGTAAATGTTTGATGTTAAACTTTGATTCTGTAAAATAAATGACCGCATTCATTTTGATGGGTCAAAGAAAAATGACGTCTCACGTTACATTTCATTAAATTCAATGCACGTTTTATCCAGTCCAGAAAGATGAGTGAACCCGTTTAATGTATGAATATATCTCAGAATATGTCATACTACACCCCCCTTGAAATATTTTTTTAGATTGTGTTTTATGTGGGGCCTATTTGAACCACCAGTTCAAATTAAACCATATTTCATAAACTCTTGAGGCAAGTAAAAATTTTACTGATATTTTTCCCTCCCATTTCAGAGAACACTAAGATCTAGACTGAAATAGTACAAAACATTTAAGATTTTAGTAAGGTCCATCTATGCTTGAGGCAGCCATATTGGGTTTTGAGAGTGGGACTGCTGAGAAATCTCCTAATTTACAAGTCTGATTTTTGATTTCTGAGGCATTCCAGATGACTTTTTAAAACTTGGAAATAAGAAATTTTGACTTCTGAGTGCAAATGGAACTCCCAGTAAAACATACTAGTCTGTAACTTGCCAACTATGCTACAAAGTTGTCAGAAATGGAAGATTCAAGCTATGAAGGGTTTTCCTAAACATTTTTTATTTAGTTAACTTTAAACAAAACTTGGTAACAAAACTTGGCCACAAGCCATCATATATGTCAAATAAAGCATATTTTGCATGTGCTTGTAAATGCTGAATAGCGTTTCTATTTTCCATTTAATGTGTGTCACTTCAATTCCTTCAGTCCAGTCAAAATGGCCCTCTGAGAATGGGCATGAGTGACATTTAGTTTCCAAATAAAATCCACATCACAACAGTTTTAGAATAATTTAACACACAAGAAATGTGAAAGTTCAAGTAAGGTTCACACCCACAAGCGTTGTTTGCAGTCATCCTTCATGATTGAACAACTTACCTGTGACTCCATTTCTTCCTTCTTTAGCTTGATCAGAGACATCCCAGAGAAGTCCATGGGGTCTGCTCATTCAAAACACAGTGTAAGAAGATGTTAGAAGTTTGTCAAAGTTTGCAAATGTCTGTTGCACAAAAAAAAAAAAAAAAAAAAAAAAAAAAAAAACTGCACTCGCCTTTGTCATCCAGGTTCTCCTGGCCAGACCTGGTGGAGCCCACCACGTTAGCAGCCATCTCATTGACACGACGAGAGGCCTGCTGGAGAACAGTCAGCTTAGTGCTGCTGCGATCAGCCTTAACCTGAAGGCAAAGAAGACTGATTAGGACTGGTGAAAGCAGGTTTAGTAAAAACTTTGTTTTCTGGTTCAAAAGAGAAAAATAAAAACATCTGTTCTTCTCTATTCAGCTGATCTTCAAAATGGATGTTTATTTAAGATAAATCATCATCAGAAGTAAAGAGCCCTTAATGTTGGATTTTTTTCTCCATTTCTTTTAATTAAAGTAAATGCACATAGGTGACTGAAAATTAAAATCATTCAGTTTTTATAAATCTCAAAACATGTTCTTCCTTTTCTGTATTCATTAACTCAAGAGTTTGGGATTAGACTCAAGCTAAAACTTTATTTCTGGAACAGACCTCCAAGTTTAAACACCAAACCAGCTCCATAATTCTGACTGAAGTTTAATGTACAATAAAAGTGAGTGCCAAGAGATATAATAATAATAATAATAATAATAATAATAACGTTGAAAGTGAAAAAGTAATGTTCTCTCTTCCTCTGAAAAGAAAAAATAAACTGACTGAAAGCTGTAAGGATGAAAATGGACAGAGGTGGAGTAATTTTGTAGCAGAAATTCAACGATGGAGAGCAAAAAGGTGGAGCTGAGATTATATAAAATGAGCTGTGCAGAGATATTCTCAACTCTAACAGGAGAATTTCTTTTATCGGATTTCTGAATTTAGTTGTAGACAAAGGTAAGGAATATTTGCTATTAATTTTTATGAAAAGCCTGACAAGTTAACCCCCCATTTTTCACCACATAGACCATTACCTTTGAAGCAGCGACCAGCTGTGCCGTGCTTGCAGCGATTTCATGAGAGCAGACTATCAACTCCTCATATTTGCCTGTGTGCAGCACCACCTTATCAGCAGACTCTCTGCAAGGAAGCAGGTAAATAATACCACTTTAACCACACTTTAATACACACAGACTGCTGATTGCGAGACTTAAAATGCCTGACAACGTTTTACAATCGGCTGTTTATTACTCATTGTATTTTTCTGCACAGCTGTAACTGTGAAAAGCCACTGAACAAGAAGCCAAACAGGAACTTACACCAACTCTGTGGCTCCCCATCCCACAGCCTTGGCAGCAGAGATGAGTCCCTCAGTCCAACGGGAGTTTCGGGCATAAAACTCTTTAATGCTGGCTGCACCCTTTAAAAGCATAATATCCATTGTGATAGATATTTATTATTTAGTAAATAATGGAAGGAAACAGTTCATAGCATTTTGAGAAAAACCTTCAAATGCAGGTTTAAATTAGAACAGTAACTCACCCTCCCACTCTCAACAATCTCCTTCTGCAGGTCTGTGGATGCTACGATCAGCATACGGATGGCCTGAAGGACAGAGGACGATAAAGCAAAAAATAATAACTAAGAAAAACACGACTCACGACTGAAGAGACTTTACAGTATGAAATATAATTATGATCACATGAAACAATACTTGAGGGGGAAAACAGTCATTTACCTTCATCAAATCTGTGCAGCTATTGAGGATTCTGGGGAAAAAAAAGAAACAGGTTTAGTTTAAAATTTACACAATTGTTTTGGTTAAAATAAACAAGGCTGCTTTAATTGCCTTTTTTTTAAGCAGCTCGAACTGCAACAAACTATTTCTTTGACCTAAATTAAACAAGAGCACCGTGAAGGGATAAAAATAAATTTTCCTTAAACCTTCCATTTATGCAACAGTTTTTATTAAAGATTTTCACCATGTAATAAAGAGTCAACCCTTGTACTTATAACCAAATGAAGTCTTGATTTAATTTTAAGAAGAAAAAAAAAAAAAAGCCTCGTTAAAAATGAGCAGACAAGAATTCCCTAAATATGAAATTTAGCAAAGGGACATAATTCAGGTAAGAAAGAGTGCAGCACAAAATGTTGACAATATGCACAGCCTCTCATCATAAAGTTTCATCAAAGTCCTTTGAAAAAAAGTGCAAGAGGAGTTGAGCTGACGTGAAAACTGGATGGACAGAGAGACGACTCATGCCATTATATAGATCTATCTATCTATCTATAGATAAAAAAGATTCAAAAACAACAAACCTTTCATTGACCTCCAGTTTAACTCCTGATGTGTCTTTGCGTGCCTGATTCATCATTTCCTGAATTCAAATGCATATAAAATATTTAGAAACACACCGTTTAATATAACTTACTCAAACCAATACAGTATTTGTACGAATTCAAGTTTAAAAACACTTACATCAATTCTGCGTACAGCCTCTTCAATAGCTTCTGATGTTGCTGCCATTTCCTTTTCAACCATATCTCCCAATTCTTCCTGACGGATGTCCATTCCTTTAGGCCTCAGTTCCTGGGAAATAATAATAAAAAAAAAAAATTGTGTTAAGATTTTAAACTGATGAATATTACACATTTTGAAACGATCAATCTTGGGATCCTGAGTACACAATCTCGTTCCACCACATGTACCACATATGGTGCGAATGACAAATAAAGAAACTCTGACTTCTAGATGATTCAATAATATACTGATGCCACAGTTAAGTCCAGGTTATTTATTTTATTCAACTGTTCTATTTAATTGCATCTCAAATGCATGTTGCATATACAGTATACTTTATCAATTTATTTGTGCGTCTCGTTTATTCTGTTATATGTATTTACAGATTTTTCTTGTTGTTTTTTTATTTGCATGCTGTTGTTTATTTACTTACGGTACTTGCCTTTTCACCTACCTGAATCATAATTGTGTTTTTTATTTTTATTTTATTTTGTGTAGTTTGACGTTTGTTTTTATGGTGTTAAAAAATAATGGACGCATCTTGTTTTAAACCCCATTATTGATATAAAATCCTCAGGTCAACAGTTTTTCTCTGCTCTAAGTAGTTAAATTAGCCTCGTAAGTTTTTGGTTATCAAAACTGGCATTTTTAATGTAATATGTTGGAACTGAGTGTTGTCAGAGGGAATACCCAGCATGTTGTGAGACAATTAGTTTTAAGTGTTTTAGGCTTTTCTTATCATTTTTGCACTGACTGAAATCTTCAGTGTAAAAGCTACAGGTTGTGTGGATTAATTCTGCAGAAATGCACCAAACAACTTTGAAAACACTTTTTTCTGCACTTTCATATTAAATATATTACATACAGCACAGAAATCCTGACAGTTACATATGGTCAATAATGTGAAAAGTCAAACTGAATTGTTTTTAATCTTTGAATATCTTTCCCATATCATCAATTATACCAAAGGATTATTCAGAAATACTAGTAGACATTTTAGTGTCCCACTTGATGCTCAAACCTGGCTGTATGTCAGATATTAGCTTTGATTATTTAAATATAGAGGCAGGACATTAGAGCTGATCACAGCTCAGCACTTAAAATGTCTTCAAATGTCAACAAACTGGTTTGTCACGAAATGCATACGTGAGATCAGATGACCAAGAATGCATGATCGTGCTAGGTACGATTTTCTATATTCAGGAAGTTCTTTCCTTCAGGCATTTGCTTTATTAAATAAAAGCTAGGCTGAGATAACCCATCAGTAAACCTCAAACCGGTGTCAAATTAAGCCTTTGTTCAAATAAATGTTGCTTTTGAGAGAAAATGTAAACCGATTTAAATAAGACGTTTTAGACCCCTACAGGTACTGCTGGAATGCTGACTTCTAAATCAAACCAGGATTAATAGAAATGTCTAAAAAGCTAAAGTATAATGCAGCACTGGTTCCTGTTTGCTGCAGCAGATTTACACAAGCTGACCCAAGACACACAAAAACCAATGAATCAAAGAAAGGAAATGGGTCAGAAATCAGACAAAAATATTAAATCTGATGCTGCATGACACAGCTGCTTTATCCCTAAAGTCTCTAGAGATAGTTTATAATTTCTCTCACCTGGCCCAAATATAGGATCCTCTGTACAATAATGCGAACAAAACCTGGGTCTGCTTTCTGGAGGGTGGTTTTTGACTTCAAGTCCTTCAGGTATTGCAGACTCTCTGTGGCACAGCTTCTGCAATTTTCTGTCAGTCCTGCAAGGTGGCAACAAGAAGAAATTAACTTTCAACATTTCTGCACTTTTTCCTGAGTAACAACCAACTCTCAATTAAAATGTTGCTTCTGCAGAGTTGAAAATATCAAGCTAAGATTTATTATGGCCTGTCAATAAACACTGTACAGAATAGCCTTTTAGAAGGTTTTCCCCAAAAGCGTTCCTTACGATCTGCATGATCAGTGGGTGCCATGTGTGCAGTGGCGCTGCCATTAACAATTGTGTCTGCGGTCAAGTGGGAGAACTGGGTCAGAGCTCTCAGCAGCCCTCCAGCATCTGGTAACAAGATCATAAAGAAAGTATTGACAAGTGTTAGAAAAACCTGACAACATTATGAGGTCAAATAGACTCGAAAGCTGAAGCAGCTCACCCGCCATATTGCTTAGATAATCTGCATGGCCCTTTTTCACTTTATCGATGGAGCTTAGAGTGGCTTCTGCTCGATTAATGAGGTAATCTGTGTTTAAAAGAAAGCCAGAGGATTGATTAGATTTTTTATAAAGTTGTTGGCACAATCTTCCTTTATACTGTATATACACAACTTGATTTAGCTGTTCACTTGTCAATTTTGGCATCGTTTTGGATATCTTTGTTTTTGAAACAGCAGCAGTCAGTCAGACCTGGAGAGCTGGTGCAGCGTATGTGGAGGGGATCATCCAGCTTGGCCACAGCATCTTGGATGATGTTCTCAGCTTCTGCTATGGTGCCTTGCAGCAGAGCAAACTGCTCTTCCAGTAGCTTCTTCTTCATCAGCTCTTCTTGACTAGTCTGTATGCAGTTCCACAAAATTGTGCACAACAGAACAGAAACATGTAATTATACATTTGTCCATACTTTGTTTTATACTAAAATATGTGGCTCTGTGACAGACTTGTGACCTGTCCAGGGCGTACCACATCTCTCCAACAGTGACTGCTGAAATTAAGCACCAGAGCCACATGACAAACAGGAAATGGATGGATGGAAGTACAGCAGACTGCTGATATTCTGCATGTATTATCCGTTTATAGACATCATCTTAAAATCTTCAGCAAACAGTAAAGTATTTAAGCATATTGGCTAAATGTGAACCCATGATTATTATTTGAGATGGACATGTGACTTGTCCGAGTTCCTTTATTTTTTCCTTTAAGAGATGTCAAGAGTAAAGGAAGTCTCTAACTCAGATGGTTAGACCGTTTCTGTTGGTACAAGAGTAGTTTTGCATATTGCAAACGTCATCATGACCAATCTGAGCTGCTGTGCATATTACTGCTCATGCTTGGCTTCCTTTTGGATGCAGGTCAAACCAAATATTTGAACAGTGTCGCTTGAAAAACAGCCTTTTGAATAAAGGCCCTTTCAGAAATATCATGAAACATTAGCATTTCTCACTGATGTTTCTTCCAAGTTCCAGTGTTTAAAATCTACGACATGCTTGAAACTCATTCTTTAGCTGTAGAAGGACGGAGACATGGCTCGCCTTTCTTACAGTCGCATAATATGATCACATGTTGGGTGGAAAGATGCCACTCCTGCCCAACTCTTGCTGTAGCTCTGAACATAATTACAGAAGCCCATAATGTAATTACGGTTTACCTTTTCACACCATGTCAGACTATCTAGAATTACATTTTGATTAGTTACAGTGAAAAATGTTTACAGCATCATTTTGTGTTCAAATTTAAAAATAACTCAAAAGGAAAATGTAGAGTTCATAAATTATGTCAAATAATGGTTCTTTTGATCTGAGGTTCAGAGGAAACATTATTAACAATTAGTATTTAAGCTGCTGTAGATAGTTCTTTGGACAACCTCAGCTTGATTCTGATCAAATTCACAAACATAATAGCTAGTCTGTTTTGGACGAAGATGATTTACTTCCTTGATCATTTTCAGTCTGGGAAATTTCATTGCTAAAGCAACAGACAAAAATACAATTGATTATAAAGGATGCAAATAAAACGAGCAATCTGTAAGGTTATGCAAATAATTATTAAAATTTTGTTAAACATAAATCAAAATGGAGGAAAAAAACCATTTGCAACCAGAGGCAACCCATTTTGTTGTGTGATGGTTTGTGGCAGGAAAGATTTATGGTAACCAAAGTAGACTGCTGCCATTTTAACACATCTCCAGTCTTGAAAGTTTTATATTGAATCATGCTATTTTTTTAATGTTACACCAAGTCAATTTCACATAGCTGAAAAAATATTTGAGAAGATTTCAGACACTAGCATAAACCTCCTAAAAATGCACAAGTGATGTAATTTATTATCAGGAGATTGGTACGGTAAAAAATTGAAAGGTTCATTTTAAAGAAAGTTTTGATTTTACATATTTGCCACACCTATTATGGTAAACATTTATTGTGAAATGCCAATTTGTTTAATAAAAGAATGTAAACCAGAATGAATTAACTTCATTCACTCGCTTTCTATTTTACAGTCCTTGAAAATCAACAAGCATCTTTCTTTGAGTCTATTTCAAGAGTTGAAGCACATGGGCTTTATGTTACCGACTCTTACATGAACCATGTACACTCTCAAGCTACTGACCCTACAATCAGACAGCTTTATTCAGGCTGAGTTGTTTGCATGACATGCTTGTGGTACTCTTTATAGCTTTTATTACTGCAGAATCAGATGCACTTGTGCTGCAAAATACGATAAAGACCTCAAGTGTCCATTTATTTACCAAAAGAAGGAAAATTACCCAAGCAACACATAAGATCTATGCAACAGAATTATTTCTCATTTACTTTACCTTGCTCAGAACTTTGGCTGGTACAGCACATCATTTCTTTTTATTATAAATCTAAATGTTTGCACTGCAGAGCTGGGCTCCACCGTCTGGACTGACCTTCTCATTCAGTTTGCCCTGCAGCTCTCCCACCTCCCTGCTGCTCCGGTCTCGCTCCTGCTGAAGTGTCGACTGCTGCAGCTGCGACGCCTGCCGCAGAGACGACAGCTCCGCCTCCTTCTCACTCACAGATCGCAACAAACGTTCCTTCTCCGCCTGCAGAGCTGTCATTGAGCTGTTCGTTTGCTCTGACGTCTGACGAAAGAAAATAAATAAATGTATGAGTGATAAGGGAAGCCAGAAACGGCAGATGGCCGTAAGACATGGAGGGAAAGTCCATCCAGAAATGGCTCAGAGAGAAGACGATAACTCTTGACTACTTTATTAGCAAGTTATCCTCACAAGCTCACCTTCTCGCTGCTCTGAAGAGTCGCCTTGACACGAGTCACCTCTGCCATCTTCTCCTCCACTTCTCTCCTCAACCTCTCCACCTCAAATTTCTGCTCCTCCAACTACAGAAACAGAAGCCGTTTGTTAGAAATCGATAACCCTCATCCACTGTGCTAATGAAAATCAAAACCAACCTTCAGATCAGCCGCCTGTTTTATCTGTTCCACCTCAAAGGACAGCTGCTGTTTGGTCCTCTCCACTTCCTCCTGGGTCTGCTGAGTCACCGACAGCATCTTCACAGTGTCTGCACTCTGTTAGCAGTTAGCACATTAACATGTTTAAGGCCAGGTGTTGATGGGTACCTGAAAGCAAACATCTCTGGACTGGTCTGGAGTATGTACCTTGCGGAGCAGTTCAGCGTGGCTGCCCACCAGCTCTGTGTGCTTTTCTTTCAGCATGTTGTACCGTTGCTCTGAGGCCTGGGCCCGTTCTAACACACACACACACGACACAATGAGAGCCTTATTTTGCTTTTTAACACTGCGTTTTCTGAACAAATGTAACTGCAGCAGATCTTACTCTCTGCTTCGAAGTAGGTGGTTTGTAAGCTCTCGTGTTCTGCGTTCCGGATGTGAGTCGCCTCCAGCTCCATACGCAGCTGCTCATTTTCCACGAGAGCACGCTGTTTCTGCACACGCTGCTCCTCCAACTCTGCCTCCAAACTGTTGATTTGGGACTTGAGCTGTGTGACGTAGCGCTGGGCCTACAGGTGTGCAAAATTCAGGGATAAGTGTACATGCAGATTGCTTATTAAACCATATTCTTAAAGTATACTTCATTATCTCCTGCTGCCAAAGTAGAAGGCAGAGTGCTAAAGGTTTGCCTGTGTCAGTGTTCATTTGTCTGTACGGTTAGCAAAATTCTTGAATCACTGAACAGATCCTAATAAAACTTTCAGCAACTAATAATCATTGGATGAACAACCTCTATAGTTTAACTTTTGGAGTCAACCCAATCAAAAAGCCACTACAGCAAATCAATATTAAACACAAAAATGGCTATAACTCTGTCAATTTTAAAGATGGAGCTAAAAATTTAGATGTTGTAGTAGTTGATTATCGTCTCCATCACATACTTCAACTGCAAACAGATCATGCAAGATATCGCATGGAATCGCACATAATATTTTCAAGGTTTACCCAGAATGGCCATGTATTTTCTCAAACTCTTGACAAGAGAGGCGACAGGCAATCTTTTTCCATTCAGTGGTCTCCCATCACCTCCCATTCAGAGCCTACTTGCCACATTCAACGTGTTCAGGAGCAACGTGACCCAGATTCCTTCACGCATAGATCACCACGCTCTTTGTTGCCACACAAACAAGAAAAAATAACCAGGCACTTAAGCATCAAGATATGCAGAAGTCTTTACCTCTGCTTTGACTCTATCCAGCTCTGCTTTCACCAGCTCAAGGTCCGACTTCAGGCTTTCGATCTGCAGATCCCTGCCAGACAGAAAGCCCACTATCACGCCGTGCTTCCATAAAAAACAAAAAAAAAACTCAACTTGTGAAAAACATCCAAGCTCACCTGTCATCAAAGCCTCCATTTGGTGGTCCGAATGCCTGATCAAATATGTCCATTTGCTGAATAAAAATATACAACAAAAAGTTTTAGACAACATAGATTACATTGTTACATTTGTGCATCTGTGTTTGGTGTACCGTACCTGTGGCTGCATCTGAATGTTTGATGTCGAGGCATCGTAGACCTCAATGAGCGGCTCAGGGTCATCATCATCATCATCTTGTTGCTCTGGTTCATCGTCAACAGGGATGACCACAACTGGTTTCACGTGTTTGGCCAGTGCAGATGCGTGGAGGAAGTTAGGTGGAGACTGAGGGAGTGGGACAAACATTAGGCATTAAAACCAGTAAGACCGTACCATCAAAATCAAATATTAAGAAAACCTAAAAAGTATTTATTATGGTTCAAAAACGTCCAATACAAAAACAACTGGACTTTATTTGTAACAGAAGACATTTTGCTCCTCATCCGAGGAGTTTTCTCAATTCAAAGAGCAGTAAGTAAGTGAGTGAGTGCGAGTCCAGTTGTTTTTGTATTGAACGTTTTTGAATTTATCATGTCCTGGATGACTGAGAATCTTCACCAGCATATTTATAATGGTCACTAAAACAAAACCAGATTGATCACAGTTAAGCAGCTCATTCCCATAATTGTAAAAAAAACAACTGTTTTTTGCAGAACAAAATTGTGGCATCAGGTGAATAATAAACTGGCAGCACTCTGGTTTTGGTCTTACATCAGGGAGTCTGGGGATCTGGATCAGTCTCTTGAAGTACACCATCTCTCTGGCTTTATTGAAGAAGCTCTTAAGGCTGTCACAAGAAAGGAAAACCAGTTTAACTTTGTCTAATATTCACCTCATACAATGCATAAAATATTGCACCATATACAGGCGAGTGCCTGCAATAATTACACTTGTGTTATCCACCCATTATAAACGTTTTTCTGTCATACTGCTAGTAGAGGATAAGGCAAATTGTGCCACAAAGTTGCAATGAGCATTTAGTAAACTTAGATCTGCAGTCTTTGAAGAATAATCTGTGAAGTACTTTCTCTGAACCATAAAGCCCATGAACACAACACAAAATGTGACGATAACACAAAGGGTGTGGGGGGGATGGGGTGATGCCGTTTTTACAACGTGGAAGATTCTGTTGCTAAATTCCTTTGGTTAAAAAAAGATAACCGACTCATTCACACTAAACTGATGACTCACCTGTTGAACTGCTCACGGAAACGATCGCGGTGTCCTTGTAAGGTATCGGCAGGGAGACCTGAGAATATTGGGCAGTTATAGATGCACGTTAAAAAACAAAAATTGGGTAAAATACTAAAGTATTTCTGCAACAAAATAAATATTTTCCAAGATTCTGGGCAGAAGTGGTTCTTACAGGCATGCAGCTTGAAAAGCAGCTTGACTTTGAAGTGGTAGAGCTGGCTGCAGTCCTGGATGACCTGGATGAGTGGAGCCAGGCGACACTGACCTGATGTGAGACTGGTAACGGCGATGGACGAGTTCAGCTGACGTAACACTGTGGAGAAAAAATAAATAAATCAAAGCAGGCATTAAAGTATCTGTGATGCAAGTCATCATTCCAATTTTTAGTTTGCGTGCAGGAAAGTGTCAAAACTGTCGTTTTTTTACTCACTGACAAGCTCTGATAACACTAACTGCTTTCCGCTTTCATATTTATGAATTAAAAGCACTTAAACTGAGAATGTTGCCAAATGTCATTCACAACAAAGTTTAAAATTCTATGTCTGTTGCTGTGATCTTGAGCCTCTACCCTGCATGCCCAGGAGGAACATGTCATTACAGCCAAACAGGAGGAAACCACTAACGAGTTCTCATTGCAGGCATTTCCTCATCAGGAAAAACAACAAACAAAAACAGTCAAAGTGGAAATCAAACCCAACCAAGTCACCCAAATCATGCATTTTTAAACCAGGCTTGTCACAATAAAGCTTTCTTGATATGCTTTTGGCTGCTTTTACACAAACAATGTCTGTAGGCAGCAGGCCTCGCCTGTAGCTCAGGTTTCTCCAGCTTGGAAGAGCAGGATGGGGGTAAAAAGGTGGGAGGAGTCTTTGCTTTCACCTGTCTCAGCCAGCCGCAGCTCTGCATCCATGTAATCAAACACCTCCACGGTGAGCTGGAACCTGCAGGACAGAAAATGATAGCTCTGTTAACAAGGTCCCGCTCAGACACACCTGTCTCTCTGAAATTTAAAAAGAACAAGGTCTGTTGTGTTAACAATTCAACTTTGTTGGGATTAATTTGTACATCCGCTGCTATTTTGAGTGTTTTGATACTTGCACATTATTAACATCTGTTCCTGCAGTCCGCTCCAGAACTTCATCTGTGACCTCCAGGTTTGGTGGGATGTCTGTATGCTGCATGGATGAAAAGTTTTAGATTTGAATTTACAGGTTTTGCTGCCTTACTGCATTACCCATGTGTGACAGGGAACTTTAAACAGGTTTACCTTGGAATGAAACTCCAGTTTTTTGCAAAGCAGCCTGGTGTATAAACCTACCAGCTGTCCATACTTGTCATGTAGGTGGCCCTGAAAACCACAGGAAGAGAAAAAATAAAGTAAAAATCAGCTTTTGTCACAAACTCATTTACATCTAGAAAAGTCATGAGACGACTCCAGGACTCACCCACAGTTTTCCAATTTCAACTAGAGAACTGTGGTGTCTCATACAGTCTTGTAAAACCTGCAAAGATCAGATAAACAGCTCAAATCAAACAACTTTAGCAACACTACAGATCTTGAATGTTTCTAACACAAATCATTACATTCAGAAGACAAAAGCAGCTCAAAATATGTTGTTATTTGTATGAATGCCGAGTCCACTTTCTTGTTTACAGTTTCTTCCAAACATTTTTGCGACCTACCGGTAGGTACTGCTATACACATTGTGCTATTTGACCATTTACCATAAGTATCAAAACAGCTTAATCTTACACAGAGTTATGATTTGTTTGATTTTTGTTTTGTTCTCACAGAAATACATTGAGACCTCAAATGCTTCAAAACTTTGTTCTCTTTGAAATCTGCTTCTACAAACTTTGTTTTACAAATATAATTTTACATACTTACACTCGTTTGTTTTGAGCTACAATTTTCTGGATTTTTGCTTTCAGCAACAAATTTGTTAGTTTTAGCTTTTCACTATAGTTCTGCTGATTTTAACTTTCAACTTTGGTTTTGCTGATTGTGTCTGAGAGTTTTGCTAAAATATCTATTAGTTACCATTTTGCTGGTGTTAGATTTTAGCTAGCATTTTGTTCATTTTAGCTTTTAGCTAGCATTTTGTTCATTTTAGTTTTTTAAATTACAATTTAGCTTTTTTAACTATGATTTAGCTTTTTATATTTATTTTATTCTTACTCTTGTATACTCTTTAGCTTAATGTTCTACTGGTTTAAGTTTTTGCTACTGTCTACTAATTTTACCGTTTTGCATGTTTTGGTTTGTAACTAATGTTTTAGCCTATAGCTACCGTTCGGTGCAGTTTTAACCTGTAGGTACCATTCTGCGCGATTTTAGCCTGTAGCTACCATTTTGCATGTTTTAGCTTTTAGCTACTGTTCTGCACGTTTTTGCTTGTAGCTACCATTCTGCATGGTTTTAGCCTGTAGCTAACATTCTGCATGGTTTTAGCCTGTAGCTACCATTGGGCATGGTTTTAGCCTGTAGCTACCATTGGGCATGGTTTTAGCCTGTAGCTACCATTGGGCATGGTTTTAGCCTGTAGCTACCATTCAGCATTTTTAGCTTGTAACTACCATTCTGCATGGTTTTAGCCTGTAGCTACCATTCTGCACGTTTTAGCTTTTAGCTACCGTTCTGCATGTTTTTGCTTGTAGCTACCATTCTGCATGGTTTTAGCCTGTAGCTACCATTATGCACCTTTTAGTTTTTAGCTACCGTTCTGCATGGTTTTAGCCTATAGCCATCATTCGGCAGTTTTAGCTTGTAGCTACCATTTGGCAAGTTTTCGCTTGTAGCTACAGTTATCCACATTTTAACTTGTAGCTACTGTTCTACATGTTTTGGCGTATTCTGATCATTTGAGTACCTGTTCTGATTCTCTCAACGCCAAAAAAAAAAAAAAAATCCTTTACCTTTCGTTCTGCTTATTTGAACTTTAACAACACAGTTTCAGCTTCTTCTCAGTAAATAAAATACATAAAAACAAAATCATTCAGCACTCAGCATTCACTGTGTTTTCACAGAAAATGTAACGTTTCTAGTTATGTTTGCATTTGCCTTTATTCTAAACTTTTCAAGTACAAATGAAGCTCCCACATGTTTCGGTTTTTCAGCTTTGTGCTCACGTTTGTCACTCATATTTGAGTCCTGCTCACAACTCTGCTTTTCAGAGGGTAAGGAGAATGAGAGGAGTATTTGGTTCCTTACATTGTGGTGCCCATCTCGCAGTATTTTGTGCAGTACGTGGCAGAACTTCCAGCACAGGATAGAGCTGCTGGCCAGAGGGAAACCCTGAGCATAAGACCAGAATGTGTAGGCTCCCTTCTCTCTGTGTGTTCCCAGAATGATTCCTGGTCTTATCATTAAGGAAGGAAACCAAAAACTCTCACAGGACAGTTTTTCAACTTTGATGGGTTACAGTAACAAATACCTCAAACCTTTGGTGTGGTTGTATGCTATGAAACAAACCACACACTATAGATTTTTAACTAACATTTTGTTTACCAGCTTGTCCAGCATTTTATGTCTAATAGTTATAAATAAAATAAATCTTTAAAGTACTTTTAAGAAATACTGTATGTCTAATAAATCTTTTTCCAAACTGCAGCGTTGCGGTGATTTATTTTTTATATGCGTTTAAGTCACAGTTTATAAACATTTGGTCATTCCAGTCTTATAAGATGATGTGTGTCCATGAATGTTTGAATTTAAGCTTTAACTTATAAAGCCCAGATCGACCCACAGAGCAAATTAAACCAATCAATATGTTCAAATCTCAGCTGGCCTCCTGTAACCTATTCTAAAACTGAATAAAATAAAATATAGAAAGGGTCATGACTTAAATAAGTTGAGAACCACAGTTCTAAGCAACCAACAGCTTCAAGTCTTATAACAAAAAATCTTAAGCAGTGTCTTGCAACAAATTCCAGTTTACAACAGGACGTGCATTTGTCCTAATCTCGACCAAAAGATAGATTTTAAACAGCTTTATAAGCCTCAGGTCAAAGATTGTAAAAAATTATTGCTCATAAATAATGTGAGCCTGTCTTACCTCATCTGTCACCATTTTCTTTGATATTCTAGACTGGAATGTCAGGGGGTATTCTTCTATTTCTTTGGCCTTTCTATAAAATTGTGTGCTCCAGATGATGCTGCGGTTCTCACAAAAACAGAAAGTGAAAAAAGGATACGTCGGGCATGTTTCTCCTTCACTGGCGTCTCCGAGGAGGTGATGGCTTTGCTGATGCTGCTGAGCTGAAAACAAAATAAGTTCATATCAGTTATTGAACATCTTCAGTATTCATCAACACAACAGTCAGTTGTGGGATTAAGAATGTGCGTAACACAATATGTTGTGTAATTTGAACATATTGTTTAAGTTTTTGCGTATTATTACGCTGTTAAAATGTCATAAGATGGTCAGGGTAAAAATAAAGAGCATCTTCACTTTACAATCAATGCTGTGCAGTAAACGTCACACATGAAGCAATGACCGTAACATTTTTCTGTGTCCAATTATTTGCCTATATATATGTGTGTGTGCGTGTGTACGTGTGCGTGTGTGTGTGTGTGTACGTGCGTGCGTTTAGAGAGCCAACAGATCACAAGATCTTTTTTTAAAACTTTGGAATGCTCTACAACTTGCTCAGCTGGTAAAACCAGAACCGCTGAGACAGCAAGAAACGGGGACAGCAACACACATCCAGGATGGCTGTGTCCTCCTAGTTTTAATCTTCACATACCATAAACACAAAATACAGGCACAAATCTGCTCTTTATGGCGAATAAAGTACGCTCATCCCCCCAGCTGAACCTGAAGTGTTTTAATCTTAAAGCAAAAGTTTTCAGCTGAGGGTATTCTATTTATTTTATTTCTACATCTCCATTTCACAACAAAAGTCAGAGTATTACACAGTAGGACACTTGTGCCTCAAATACCCTGCTGAAGCTCTCCAGGAACACAATAAAGCTCCAGATTTCATGTACTGTGCCCCATATCTAGTTGTTTTTAAACACTCATGTTCTTTATTATAATTAAATTAATTTAAAAAAAAAATCTACTGAAAAAAAAAAACGAATTAATAAAAAAAAAAAAATAAATAAATAAAAACACTTTCACACATTTTCTCATGTAATTCAGACGAAAAGCTCACTTTCTTTACAAAACCTTGGTTTAAACAAAATATAAATCCTACAAAACTAGTTTAATAAAAGACAATCCAGACATTCATCTTCAAAAAAAACCTTTAAAATTGAAAGTAAAAAGTAAAACCTCTCATTTTTGTCTTTTAGCCAAAAGACTTCCAGTCTTTTGAAGTATTTGGATAAAGTCTCAAGAAGTGTTTTGGATAAACGTTGAAACATTTCAACAAAGAATGATCCGTCCAGAGGACGTGACTCATGTTAGATTGATCTACCTGAATTACTGATCATCAAGACACTTTAGGTTGGGTTCTTGTTGTTGTTGTACATAAAATCAATAAACTTTGTTAACTGTTAATGAATTACATTTTTCTTCTACTAGTATTTTTTACACAGGATTACTGTACTTAATAAAATGTATGATTCAAAATGACAAAATAAACAAAAATTAAACCATAATGTTACCTTTTGAGCTCATACAAAAACACATTTTAATGTTGGGTGATCAAAGAAGAAGGGACAGTACAATTGTCCTGAACTTCTGTACGTACATAAACGTGGCTCCAGCAGTTGTACGATGACCCTGCCTTCAGTCACAACCCATGGCAGACATTTATGTCTGTGCAACAAGAAAGAAATCCTACATACAGTTCAGGCATTACTGGAGCTTGGCCTCTTTAATCTTGCTTAAAAAAAATGTTTCTTAAATGAGTAATACACAAACTCTTTGAAACATTTGAAAGCCTGAGAAGTTCTCAGATATGTATGACAACCATCATACATAGAAAGCACAGAGAGGTTACTGTGGCTGAAAACTGAGATTCAGACTGAGGTCCACTGGTTAATAAGAGACTCAACTCGCCTCCTGACTCAAATAAACTGAGAACCTCGTTTACACAGGGCACGTGAAGGGGGCCGGCATGGAAGGTTTGTGTGACAATGAGGGGTTTGTTGGAGGAGGAAGGCGGGCAGCTGAGTTAGAAGATTGGGTTGGATGGGGGTGTACTCCAGCATACATAGCTTGGCACAGAAGCCTCAACAGATGGCTGCTGTGCAGCAAAGATAGTGAAACTCTTATTGTACATTCAACATGGTCAACAGTCAAAAGACAAGGAGACAAGACAGAGAGGAGGACATCAGATGCAGGAGGATGAAGAGAAAGTGGTAAAAAACTACCAGTTTCCCTTCAGAATAAAAAAACAGAAGAGTTCAAAGGAGTTCTGAAGATGCAGAACTTTGTGTTTATTGATTGCCCAATGTTTAACGAGACAGCAGAAAATGTAATGGCATCAGATCCTAAAGCATACATTTTCACATTTAAGCAGCAAGAATTAGAAATGTTTTGTTTAATTAATACAGATTTGGCTTTTGGTTAGTTACTTGCCTTCCATATCAACAAATAATCTTTTCTGTTTCATTCAAATTGTAATGCTGCGTTTACAAGTCTCTGTTTTTGCACACATTCTTTTTTAACATAAAATACAGCATACAAAAAAAATACAGCATGTCACAGTCAAACACCAGTTAGAACAAATCCAAAATTTTCTAACTTAATAATTTTAGGAGATGAAAATATTGTGAACTTCTGCATCCGGTTTAAACAACAGTAAATCCTCTTCAGCCAACAGTGAAGGGAAGTGAGACACAGGGATGCCCTGGACAAATCCACAGCCTCCCATAAGGTGGTCCATAATACCAGCAGGAATTAGTGCAGTAACACACTTGCTCCACAGTCCACAACACTGTAAGCTGCTTTAATGTCAGTGGCTTCATGGCTGCTTACCGTGTCATCTGTGTTTTTCAGCAGGGAGTCCATCGGTTTGTGTCAAACCATCTGCACCACACCTCTGCTGCTTCTCCTTGGACATAATGCGTCAAGGTAAGAGCACTTATTGAGGCTCTTTATCTGCTTAATTCAAAAGTCTGTTGCAGGGGAGCTGGCTGACAAGGTCACACGGCTCACACCTAAGCTCAGGTTAACGAGAGTCACAATTCACCCAGGCGGTGCATATAGAAAGCTAATCAACGGAGAGCGAACAGAAGGGTTCAAAATATTTTACTCCATTATCTGTGATAAGAGATACAAACACTGAAAAATAGATTCCGTTGATTTTTATCTCTGAGGTCAAACTACTTCGAAAGGTTTCATTACTAACTTATGATCGTGTGGATTTGTTCTTTTCAGAACCAATCTCTCTCCTTTTACTGACCAAACTACTTGTCCTAGATCAACACAGGCTGCAAAACCTGACCAAAAAAAAAAAAAAAAAAAAGACTGCTCATTTTCTTGTGCTCCACAGTCAACAGAAAGAACACCTTA